TGACAACCAAGGGACAGGCTTGAGGAGGTGTACCCTTTGGTTGTTTGATGATGCATGGAGGGGATTGTAACCATGGCAATGAAAGAATATACGACAGGATGAATGTAAAGCTAATGTTCTCCTATGTAAATTATCACATAATTCCCAATAAACACTAAAAAAAAAAAAAACCACACAACTGCATAGACTGAGATAAATATTTAAACTCAGAATTGAGCAGACATTTTTTGGGGGGCAGGCTTTTCATTAGTGTTTGTTTCTCTTATTTGTACTTTTGTACTTGTTGAACTGAGTTTGTACTTTTTGCTTCTATGGTTACCTTGAATGACCGCAGGCTTCGATTCCTCCAGTGGTGTTCTGCCACCTTCTTGGTCAACATCTAGAGTGCTAGAGAGTTCTTCTCATATTTCACTCTGTCCTCCACTATCAGAAGGTTCTCCCAGCCGCATCATAGTGAATATTTTATATCTACACTCTTGTCCGCCCCCAGAAGTAGACTAGTGTTACTTGTTTGTGTAAGTCTCATGGTGTGTGTGGGATGTAAGGGGTTCTTGGTGCTCCTAGTCCAATTTCCACTTTAGGACCATCCTGGAATCACCATGAGTCAGAATCAAATGGACAGCAACTGGTACTGGTGTACCTGAGTTTCAGGACGGAGTCTTTCTCTGCCTTCCTTTTCTGTCAATGGAAAAGAACCCTCATGCAGCTGGCACTCAAGTGGGTTTCCTGTTCCTCTTCCCATAGAAGCCAAACTCTGCTTTGTGGCAGTGCAAAGACCTGGATTTGAACACATGTCCTGTTACTTTCCTCCACTGGCACCAAACACAATGCTAAACATACAAAAAAGATTCAACAAGAGCTTAAGGTATGAGTAAATGTACCAAATATGACAAAAAAGACTCTTGGTACGTGAATAGACTGAGAAATTGGAAGGAAATTACTTTGTAGGGAAAGGTCACCAGTTTGGTTTTAGAAGTGTTGAATTTTAGGTGACATCTCATATTCTAATCTGAATATGTGTAAGCCTTTTACTTTGGCAAGCTGATCGGATTTAGATTCATGACCATGAAGTTGTTGATTCAAAACAGGTGATCTCTGATGGAAAGACTGTTGTTGTTGTGTTGTGAAGTGCCATCGAGTCGGTTCCGACCCATAGCAACCCTGTATAGGGTTTCTGAGGAGCAGCTGGTGAGCTTGAACGGCTGACTTTGCAGTTCTAATGGCTTTGCTGTCTGGCACATTAACCCACAGCGTCACACCAGGACTCCGGAAAGACTGTTAAGTGAGGGTTAATAGACAAAGAATTTCAGGTGACTATAGTTGTCATGTAGGAGTCCTGATAGTGCAGTGGTTAGGTGCTCAGATACTAGCTGGAAGGTCTGTGGTTCAAACCCACCTGCTCCACAGGAGAAAGATTTGGCAGTTTTTTTCTGTAAAGATTACAGCCTTGGGAATCCTAGGGTGACCCTACTCGCGTCACTGTAGGAGTTTGTTGGCTCCATGTGATAAGAATTGGACTGTCAGCCACAAAGTTTGCAGTTCAAGCCTATCAGCTTCTCCACAGGAGAAAGATGAGGCTTTCTGCGAAGATTCAAAGCCTCAGAAACCTTTTACAGGGTTGGTTTGAGGCAGAACAGACTCATAGGCACCTAACAACAGCAACAGGGGTCACTATGTGTCAGAATTGACTTGTTGGCAGGGGACCTGGTTTTGGTTTTAATTGTCACAGCAGTTTTAAAACAAATCTGAAAATAAATGGAAAAATAGAAGCCTTATATATTTGTAAGTATAACGGTATGGGAAATGTAGATATATTTTCATGGTTTGGAACAATGATTACTCAAAAGTACTTAGTGATATAATTATGCCCAAATCACTTTATTGTGAAATAATGAAATCCTGTACTAATGGAAACTGAATGCTTTGTAATCATATAAGTTAGTGAACATCAAAAGAAGCTAAATGCTTCTTTCATATAAAGTAGGCTGTTTGATTTATTAGTATATCCTGGCTTTTTTCTATCACTGAACAATCATTGAGTTATTAATTACTATCAGTTTAGTCTCCAAGTCTGTTTTCTCACAGATTTTATTAACTATCTTAAAAATAAGTAACTGTTGCATTTCCTAGAAAGAAATGCTTATTGATTCATAACAGAGGATTTATCCTAAGGTATACCAGCTGTACATATTAATGCAGAAGGATTTCTTTATGGCTATAGTCATTGAATAAGCATTCTGAATTACATCTATACTTAGATACTGGTTGGTTGGTTACGTGCCATGGAGTCGGTTCCGACTCATAGCGACCCTGTACAGGGTTTCCAAGGCTATAAATGTTTACGGGAGCAGAAAGCCTCATCTTTCTCCTGTGGAACAGCTGGTAGTTTCGAACTGCTGACCTTGTGGTTCGCAGCACAATTCGTAACCACTACGCTACCAGAGCTCCTTACTTATGTACTAGAACCTTTAATACATCTGCCATGAAGTTGTAGTCCTTGTTTATTAATTGTGAAAAGATACTGAGAGCAGGAACTCTAGTTTGATGACACAGGGAATTGTGATACCCAGTTTTAATGTCAGTTATGAAATTATTTTATGAAGTAACAGATACCATGTTTAAATTGCATGGTGGTGTTGTTTTTTTTCTTCCTTTGCATTAAGAAATATTTGTGACATAAGAAATTAGGAATACAGATATATGATGCTGGTCAGATACACAGGCCATTCATCAGAAGGAAATTTTAGTCATGTTAGACCTTCACTTTTAGCTGTCTTTGTAAATTGATCAGAAATCTTGGTCTTCCAGAGCATCCCTATCAAGCAAGCAAGCTTCATAGGAACCGGCACCAGATTCTCCCTTGCAGGGGTGGGGCTTGCTGGTGATGAATGCAGTGGTCTGTAACAAAGACTTGGAGAGTGTGAAGGAGGGAAACAAACAACAGCAGTTTGTCATGTCCCCCCTGGCTGAGCATGCGCTGACTGCAGACACCAGACATGTCCATGTAGTGTCACTTCAGGAACTTTCAAGAAACCAGTCATTTACTGAGTTCACAGAGTGCTTATGTTCTCCTTAGAATAGGAATATTGATTCATTATGTTAAACATCAAGCAGCCTGTGTTTCTATAAGAAAGAAATGGTTACGGAGTGTTTGCCCTGGGTCCTATTTTATACAACTTGTGGTGAAGGACTCAGAATGAATATAAAATAAAGCTTACCCTGGTGGTGGTGTGCCTCTGAGTCAGTTCCGACTCATAGCAAGCCTATTTACAGGAGCAGAAAGCCTCATCTTTCTCCTGTGGAAGGGCTGGGAGATCCGACCTGCTGACCTTGAGGTTAGCAGCCCATCTTGTAATCCCCACTACACTACCAGAGCTCACCCTCGTTGTTGTTAAATGCTGTCGAGATGGATCCAACTCATAGCAGCCCTGTATAAGTTTTCTGAGGAGCAGCTGGTGGGTTTGAACTGCTGACCTTGTGGTTTGCAGTCCAGTGCTGATCCACAGTGCCACATCAGAACTCCAAAGCTTAGCCTACCAAAACCTTAATTAAGAAACCATCTTCAGAGTTGCTTCTAGAAGAATATTCTCTTGGAAGGGAATGGTGAGAAAATAAGGTTTTATTACTTTGAATCAGTTACTGTTCCTGCAAGTTTGCTATGCCCCTTGCTGAGATATGGGGAAATGGAAGTTAGTGGTTTGTTTTCATAGTTCAGTTACTTTCTAAAGTAGCAGATTACCTGTTTCACCAAATCTTCTCCATTAAAGGGGCCATGATCAGCCAGTAACAAAGAACAGATCCAAAAGGTCCGGGATCATCCTTAACAAGCACACCCATGGTCCACGGTCCATCAGGGAAATTCCCGCTCAGAGTGGCCCTGTGGGACTGAGTAGAACGGCCCCATAAGGCTTACAAAGACTATAAATCCCTATGGAAGCAAATTGCTGCCTCTTTTCCCTGTGGAGCAGCGGTTGTGTTCAAACTGCTAACCTTTCAGGTAACAACTAAGCACTTAACCACTGTGCCACCAGGGCTCTTAAGGGTAGAGTTGTTGTTGTTGAGTACCGTCGAGTGGATTCCGGCGCATAGTGACCCAGTATAGGGTTTTCAAGGAGCAACTGGTGAGCTTGAATCACCAACCTTGCAGTCTCATACATTAGCCCACAGTGTCACACCAGGACTCCAAGGGTAGAGTGGAGGGGTAGAAACGATTGTGTTCTAGTGGGGTATCATCCGTAATTGGAATGTAACGGAATGTGGTTGCCTCAGCATGAGGCTATTCTATTGGTATGATGAGAACAAAAATGTACTCATTTACAGAAATATGCTCAAATAAGTGCTTACTTACATCATTCTACATCTCTTTATAGCTAACTAACTATACTCAATCCTATTATAGAAATGGAAGCTAAATTTAGCAAATTGTTTGGCTATTTGTGTTTAGTGCACAAAATTCTTAATTAACAAAGCAAAATACCACAATCCATTGTAAATCACTTTGCTAAACTTTCAAACTCATAAGACATTTTGTATTGTTCAAAAGCTCCTTTCAAACTCCTGCTGACCTGGCCCTCATGCATCAATTCCCCGTGGAGCTGAGTGCAACAATGTAAAGGGAGCCAATTAAAGAAACTTTGAGCCAGAATAGAACAGCAGCGGCAATCTGGTCCATCGCTCTGCCTTCAGGCAAAAACCATCCGCTCTACCAAAAATTTTTGCTTGGATCCTGCTGACAAAAATGTTCACCATATGCAAATGACAAGTCATAATCCAGTATTGCAACTAAAGCAGATTGTAGACTATTCAAGACTTATTTATTGTATTCCAAAGATGCTGAGTATGAAATCTTATCCTGAATTGTCTTAATTCCCCTTCCTAGAAAATCATTTGATACAAGAAATGTACTAAAATAATTATGAAGATCTAGAAGATTTGTGTTCGGGAAATAAAGTTATCTTCACCATCTTATAAAGTATGTTTTCTGTTTCCTTTCACTCTAGGTCTACCTTACGGGTGGGAAGAAGCTTACACAGCAGATGGAATCAAGTACTTCATCAAGTAAGTACGAGCATCTCAACCAAGTAAGCACTTTTCTTCACATCTGGAGAGAACCTGGAAATTGCAGAATAATCAGCAAAACCAAGAAAACCTCTTAGAGGTTACAAAAATTAGTAACAAGAAATGAAGCCTCACCATTTTACATTTCGTGTGATTTAGATGCGAATATCAGATCTCATTTGGCAGGGGGCAGGATGGGGGTATCTAGTAATTTCGAGGGAAACATCAAAAAAAGGAACAGAATTATGATTTGAAATCAAATGGTGATTGCCTTGAAGATATGATGGTGAAATACACAGTCTAATTCCCTGATATCGTGAAAGATAGGCAGTAAATAACTAAAGAACTAAATGGAGCAGTATATGAACAAGCCTTAATTCAGTACATTCTCAGAATAACCCTTTGAGATATATGTATCTTATCAATTTTGCCATTTTATAAATGAAGAAAATAAGATCCTTGAATACTGCCCCCAAATCCACCACCATTAAATGAGCCAGCTAGAACTAGAATGAATGCAAGTCTTCTAGCTCCAAAACCCTTTCTGCTACATTCAAGCATGCCGCCATTGAGTCAAATCCGACTCCTAATGACCCTGTAAATCTTTAAGGGAGCAAAAAACCTCATATGTCTCCCTCTGAGTGATTGGTGGGTTTGAATTGATGACCTTGTAGTTAGCAGTCCAGTGCTTAGCCACACCAGGACTCCTGGGAACCCTATACACGTCACTATGAGTCAGAACTGACTGGACAGCACTTAACAACAACAAAGACAGTCACTAATAGACAGTCTTAGATGAGCATCTCCATCAGAATACACTTTCTAGCTGCTGGGTGTCCAGGGTATTTTTGACCCTGGACAAAGCAATCGGATAGACTGCGACTACATTCCGGGCAGCTTCTTCATGTCGGAGAGTGTGAAGGGAAATCCCAACAGACTCCTAAGAACCTAAATTGTGGTGATGTGAAGTACTGTCGAATTGGTTCCAACTCATAGCGACCCTACTGGTGGGCTTGAACTACCGACCTTGTGGTTAGCAGTCCAGTACTTATCCTATAGGGTCACACCAGGACTCTAAGAATCTAAGAGACTCCTTTATAACCCTTTTAGTGCATTTTGCTTGGTATGCTTTTTAGGAGGAAAAAGGAAATATGTGCTTGCTGTCCTTTCAAATGTGCACATGGTTTTCAAAGCAATAACCAGATTTTGGTTTCTCAAGCTCCGTGACTTTACGTAAGTTCCTTCATTTCTCTTAGCCTTAGTTTTCTCATCATACGTGAGAAGGCGTATCAGCTCCCTTGTATCATTGTTGTTATTAAGTGCTGTTGAGTTGGTTCCGACTCATAGTGACCATGTGTAGGGTTTCCGAGGAGCAGCTGGTGGGCTTGAACCGCTGACCTTGCAGTTTGAATCAACCTCGCAGTCTAGTGCTTATCCTACTATGCTACCTTATAGAGTTGTTAAATCACAAGCATCCACACCAGAAGTTTGACCTCAGAAGATATCCAATAAATTGTTGTCACTAAATTATCCTGTGGAGAAACCACCATAGTGAAAAAGGCATGAAGTAATATGACAATATGCAAGACTGAGAATTCACAAGCTTCACATTTGAAAAGATTTAAGGGAAAACCCAGTGAAGTGTATTCATGGTATATTTTTTCTTGGCAGTTTCTAGCAAAAAGTGATTAATAAAGCAGAGGTGTAGGTTGTCGTATGTGAAGAAAACCCAGAAGTGCCACGCACAAATCACATTTAGCACCATGCCATCCGCTTGCAGAATCATACCTCTTCAGGAAGGAACAGTGCACACTAATAAGCTTTATAGCTGTGCATAGTACCTGGAAGAGTTCAATCACTGTTCTGTAGGGATGGCAGGAAAAGGAAAAAGCAAATTTGTGTTGAATTTCTCTTTTTCTCTTCTTCATATTTGCAGTTAATAAGGGAAAACGTAGGACAGGAAGGGGTGTATTTTTGACTCCACCCCAGCTGTGTTTGCTACCTTTCATTGTCTGTGCTCTGTTTCACTTCATCCTCTCAACATTGTAGAAAGTAGGTGTTGCTGATCATGTGGACGAGGCTCTTACTGTTGTTGTTAGGTAACTGGTGAGTGGGTTCAGACTCTTAGCGACCCTGTCGAGGGTTTCCAAGGAGCGTCTGGTGAGTTTGAGCCACCAAGCTTGTGATTCAGACGGACCCTGCGGTCCAGTGCATTATCCTGAAGTGCCACACCAGAACTTCAGTCTCTTATTGTTGTTGTTAAATGCTAGCAAGTTGGTTTCAACTCTTAACAACCCTGTATAGGCTTTTGATGGCGCAACTGATGAGTTTGAACTGCTGACCTTGTGCTTCACAGTCCAGTGCTTATCCTACAGTGCTGCCCCAGGTTCTTGTTGTTGTTGTTAATTGCTGTCGAGTTGGTTTCAACTCATAGCGACCCTAGGGTTTCCAAGGAACTTAGAATGGTATTATTTATGATAGCATTGAATTGCTTGCCTTGCCTTCTAAGAGGTCTCCAAAGGAAATGTATGGTCCTGGAAAGGCAGGTCAGTGATCATTATTAACAAGGGTTCTGAGTTCAAAGGTCTTTGTAAAGTGTCAGTAAATGACTGTGGGTCTTGTGGGGACCCCCTTGACCTCTCTCAGTGCAGTGCATCCTAACCTAGAGCTGAATGTCACAGCCTAACTCCTGCAGTTCAAGGAAACGATAGTTATGGATATTGTCAATTGCAACAATGGAGAAGGAAGGAACAAGAAATAGCCAGCCAGAGTGAGTCTGTCCCACTGCCTGTTACCCACAGGCTTACGCCACCATCCCAGGCAATCTGGGACAATAGCTTCAGACTGTTACTACAAGGGAGTAAAAACACCCAAGGAGCAGAGGGGAAAAAGACAGGCAACTCTGGGTCAGCCCTGAAATCTAACTTCAAACCCTGTGGAATGAATGGAAAGGAATACTATACTGTGCTCCATGCCTAGAAAATATACCCCAAGCACTGTATTGTAGAAACCTTTCAATTCTCTCCTTTCACCTTTCTCCTGACTCAGCTTTATAAGATAAATGGAAAAAGAGACCAGATTAATCTCTTCTTCCAAAAGGCAGTGTTGGGTACCACTGTCCCACCATTACAGCTGGAGAAATAAGAAAACTGAGGAGCAATGATCAATAGCCAGGATTATCTGGCCCCCAAACCATGTTACCTTAACATCCTTCTTTTAATGTGGTATGTCAGAAAGACATTAGAAACAGATCTTAAATTAGATCTTAAATTAGGTGGAGCTCTGTATTACAGGAGTCCTTGTGTGGCACTGCAGGATAATGCACTGCACCGTAACGTCAATTTGAACCCCAAGGTTGGCAGTTTAAACCCACTAGCTGCCCCTCGGGAACCCTATATCGGGCTGCTATGAATCAGAACAACTCGATGGCACTTAACAACAATTATGCATTATAGGAGCCCTGGTGGTGCAGTGGATAAGTGCTTGGCTGCTAACTGAAAGGTTGGTGGTTCTAACCACTCTGTGGGAGAAAGATGTCTGCTTTGCCAAAGATTAAAAGGCCCGTTGGCATTGAGTGGATTCCAGACTTAGAGTGAGGAGTCTATAAAGAGTGCAGTTCAAGTCCCTGCCACTGAGCTGATTCCTAGTGAGCCTCGAGGACAGAGTGGCACTGTTCCATAGGACACCCTAGGCTGGAGATCTTTACAGACGCACACTGCCTTAGCTTTCTCCTGCAGAGGAGCAGGTGGGTTGGAACATCCAACCTTTTGGTTAACGCTTAACCTACTGCACTACCAGAGCTTCTTCTGTAAAGATTGTTGTTGTTAAGTGCTGTCAAGTCGGTTCCGACCCATAGCAACCCTGTATAGGGTTTCAGAGGAGCAGCTGGAGAGCTTGAACCTCCGACCTTGCAGTTCAAATGGCTTTGCAGTCTGGCGCATTCACCCCCAGTGCCACACCAGGATTCGTCTATAAAGGTCACAGCCTGAGACACCCTTTGGAGCTGCTCTGCTCTGTCCCATTGGGTCACTGTGAGCTGGAATTGACTTGATAGCAGTGAATTTGGACTGATATTTTGGTTTCTAGATTGTCGTTGTTAGGTAGGTACTATCAAGTCAGTTCTGACTCCTAGTGACCCTAGGCACCACAGAACAAAGCACTGTGTGGTCATGCGCACAGTCCTCACAACTGTTGCTGTGTTTGAGCTCACTGCTGCAGCCACTTTGTCAGTCCATCTCTTTCTCATTGACCCTCCAGTTACCAAGCATGATGCCTTTCTCCAGGCACTAGTCCCTCCTGATAACAAGTCTAAAGTCCTACTGGCTTTCTTTCAGTGGCTAATTCTTCAGAAGTGGTCTCCCTGCCTTCTTCCCAGTCTCTCAGTTTGGAAGCTCAGTTGAAACCTGTCCACCATGGTGTTTGAAATACCAGTGGCATAGCTTCCTATAGTACAGTACCGCACAAGCCACTGCAGTATGACAAACTGATAGTCAAGTGCTCTGTCTACACAGTGTTGTTGTTAAGTGTCATTGAGTTACTTCTGACTCATAGCAACCCTGTATAGGGTTTACAAGGAGCAGCTGGTGTGTTTGAACCACCGACCCTGCAGATCAAACCAACCATGAGGTCAATTGCTTATCCTACAACACCACACCAGAACTCCGTCTACCCATTATCCATTATTAAAAATCAGTATAGACTTGGCTCCAAGTACATATGTCCTGAAGGTTAGCAAGAACAAATAGTAACAATTAGAAAATGTAACAGTATGCCACCGCTAACTTTACTCAGCATCATGGAGGAATGGGTTGCAAAAATGAGCTAACTTTTTTCTTATAATTTAGCCTCATTCAAGCACCAAGATTGTTTGGGGTTAGGAGACAGATGAAGCTTTCTGCTCCTGTAAATTTTTACAGCCTCGGAAACCCTGTACAGGTTCGCTATGAGTCGGAACAGACTCCACGGCACATAACAACAACAACAACAACATATTTTATGGA